ATCGATCGTCAGCAGGAGACATCCCAGGCTGTTAATCAGCCGTCGTCAATCACGGACCATCCTAACACCGTCCAGATACGTGAACTTACAGAACACCTCTGTAAGCCCCTGCTCCACCTCGCCTGGGTGGAACACCATTCAGCTGCTTGCCAAGATCGCATAGCAGCTAAGCGGAGGGCACAAGATTGGAACATATCAGCCGATTTCAAAGCCAGCGCTCTGGGCTATACCACCACCTTCTCCCCTGAGCCTCAGTTTCCTCATCTGTAAAATGAGTACGATTGTAATACATACCTCAAGGTTTAGTGCAAGAATCACATGAAACGTTGCACAGGCGAGTGCCTTGCAAACTGCGCTAAGAACGCCAGCTGTTGTCATTATCAGACAAGATTGAACAGCCTGGGTAACAAAAGAAAAGCCTTCTCCTGCGCTTTTGATAAAGGCTTGTGAAGACAGCTGGACGAGGCCGATGGGATCTTTCCCCAGTCTCATCTGTGCCACTTAGTGAGCAGCGGAGAGCTGAGAGGCAGCTCTCCCACCCGGCCCGGTGCGCCAGGAAAACCACATCAGTGTGAGGATCTGAGCCGTGATGATCAATCATTTGTATCATTTGTGCCAAAATATAATATCGTGAGCTGCTCTTATGTGGCTTAAGACCACAGCTGTCTGTGTCCTGCCTATTCCCATCGCCCCACACCTCACTCTGGTCAAGGGTTTGACTCGTTCGTGCATCTTCCCTCCCGGCTGAGTTCTGGAAGCTTACTCACTGTTTCCCTGCACTCTTCCCCTCTAAGGCATGGCCAAGAGCCTGGGAATGGCAAATGCAGCACTCTGCAGAGGGCTTTTTAACCCCCTTACTCTTTCCATTCCCACCGCAGGCCAGCAGGCAGGTGTGATTTTCCACGCCTGGTCTACAGATGGAAAGACTGAGGTCAGAGGAGCTCAGCAACTCGCCCAAGAGAGAAGAGGGAAGCTGAGGTGGACGGGTCCAGGCAGTCCACGTGTGTTACACTCAGCTCCTAATACCAAGAGTGGGCTGTGGCATTTGTGTGTCTCTACCCGGCTGGCCTAGGCGGGGGAGCAAGGAAAGGCAGCGCCCCGCGAGGATGTCAGCAGCCGGGAGGACCCTGCAAATATAGCCCCTAGCAGGAGGAAGAACACAGAGCACACACATGGGCCAGTCCAACGTTTGTTGACAGCTCATAGATCAGGACGACTGGCTGAACAGAAGGGGCCTGAGAGCATGTGATGGAGATAACACGGTGGGAGGAGAGGCAGCAAGCCACGTGCCACTCAGACTCTCAGAAAGTGCTCTGCGCTCCCAGCACCCACGCAGGAGCACAGCAGTACAGTGGGACAGCCTGATCACCACCGTCCTCATGCCCCTGCCCCTCAACATTCAGGACTCGATCTCGGGAAAGGGACCCTTGATCTCACTCTCGGGCAGTCACCAGGGCACAGTAGAGAGCTCTGCTACCTTCCTCCCTGTGAAAAAGTTGGAGGGGTGGAGATTCATACTGGAATAGAGGAGGCAGGGCAAGGATGTGAGAGTATTTCTCACAGGCTATGCTGGAGCAAGTTGGCCTGAAGCTAAGTCCTTTCCTCTGTTGGGGTTGCATCGCCCCCTCCGGGCAGTCCTCTTGGGTGGCCCCCTCCAGCGTGGCCACATCAGTATCCTTGCCCTGCCAATGCAGGAAGTGCAGCTCACTCTCACCCCCTTCTTCTTGCTGCCGTAATGCCTAGTCTGATCCAACCACAGCTTCCCAAGCAGATCCTGTGGTTTGGGTCTCTGAGTGGCCCACTTAAAGCTCCCCCTCCCCAGCCTCGTGGGGGAGACCCCTCAGAAACACTGTCTCTCCTCTTTGGCAGGGAGAACTCACAGCTTGCTATCTTCAAAGAAAACCTCTCTCCCCAATCTCTCGAACTTCAATCCTCTGTTCCCTTGAGGCGGGTGATGAGCTAACGGTGGCAAAATCAGTTTCCAGGCACCCTCTCTGCAAATCTTACACAGACGACTTGGATTCAGTGCCTCCCTTTGGAATGAGGGGATGTTTTTGCAGTTACTGTTTTGTTCCCCGTCTGTGGAACTGCGGGAAGAATCCCACGGTAGCCTCCTGTCACAGGAGCACGGGCACACAGGCAGAGATAGGCACATAAGCACATGACTGTCCTTGCCACAGTGTTTATATTGCGCCCCAAGCTCTCTCTCCCCGGCTTCTTCCCAACCAGTGTAACCAGATTTCTACCACATCCCCGAGCTCCCTGACCCAAAGCTTTCATAAGAGAAAGCTCATTTGACTAGTGGGTGTATGTGGTTTAGAAAGCCTGGACCAACACCCAGGCAGCCTTGTTGTAAGCCTGGCTCTGCCACTGAAGGGCTGTGGGACCCTAGAAAAGTCGGTGACTCTCTGTTGGCTTTTGTTTCTCATCTCTGACACAAGGAGATCGTGCTCGATGGTCATCAAGGTCCCTCCAGTTCTGGAGTGCTGAGTTGGTCCAGGAGGCTGTTCCAGGCCAGGGCAGTGCAGTTCAAGGACAGAGATGACGCTACAGTCGCTTTGCGCAGTGCCTGACACTTCCACTCCCATCAACGGGCTGCTTTGTTTCAGGTGACAAGATCGTCACAGGATCTGTCCCCTGCCTTAGGGACACGTACTCCCCCACTTCAGGATAGAGACAAACAAAAGGGCAGGATCCTGGGCCTGGGGGCAGTGGGGTGACCGCATGCCTCACCCGTTGAAGGAAGCTGTGCATTATGAATAGTCTTGTCCCAGGATCCAAAATAGGCAGCCGGTGGCCTGGCTTCCAGGCTCCCCCTCAGCTGAAGATAAAAATATCCTGGGCTCAGGGATGTTTCCAGCCGTAAATCAATCAGCTGGGACTATTTCCATCCTCGTCCTTGCCCAGCAATCCTCCTACAGCCTCCATCCTGCCCTCCTGTCCCGGCCTCCCACTACCCAGCTCTGGAGGAGGAGGAGGCTCACCAGCCATCCTGACTCCAGCTCAGCAGGTTGGCCGTGCAGACAGGAGAACCCTCCCCCTGCTTACAGCTGAACGAGTTGGCATGCGCTGTGAGCCTGGTTGGCACGTGTCCACTCTGACAGGCAGATCGGCTTCCAATGTACACCAGGTTTCCTGGCCTGCAAGGCCAAGGAGCTGCCCACGGACTGTGCTGAATGTCTGGGAGCAGATGTCTCTGAGTAAGCCCTGTGGCATGGCAGGGGTAGGGCTTACCCTTCATGTGGTTGCAAGGATTAAAGGACCTAACTCATAAAGCCGCTGGGAGGACTAAATGAGACCCTGTAGGGAAAGTATTAAATTTGGCACGTGGCAAGTTGCAGATGCTCAGAAAATAAGAATCTCCTATGCCCAGCTAGCTGAGCATCTGGAGCTCAGACTCCCACGGCTGGCCCGTGTTTTTGGAGAGATTTTTTTCAGTCTTAAACCCTAAGTCAGCTTCAAATCCAGCTATTGGAGGGACTTGAGGGCATTTGGTCTATGCGGAGATCCTAAGTCAGCACCCTAGTGACCAACCACAGATGCCGGACCAGCTGGAGGACACTGCCTCATGTTCGATCTTCTACTGCCCTCTGCAGGCTACAGGCTGTACTGCAGGCAGCGTTGACTTCCTGTGCAACGCAGAAAAGACCAAGGCACCTCACTTTATTGACTCACAGATCGGGACACTGGGCAAGGCAAGGAGTCGTATTGTGGAGGACAGCACCTCAGAATGTCACCATGATTTGTAGCTCACAAAGCACGTGCTTGTTGGATTTTCATGACCCCTGTGTTCTCATGTGGGTACCTAAGCACAGAAGGGACTGCAGGGTCATTGCTTAGCCCTAAGGTCCTCACTGATAACCAGTGACAAGCCTCAGGCCCTGCCCCAGAACATCCCAGAAAAATCATCTGAAATGGAGCTGCGTGGATCTCAAGGTAAATACCTCTTTGATTCTTAAAGCTCTTCCGCTTTGACCAAGCTATAAACAGCCAGGGTATCTAGAATACTCTGAAGATGGGAATTTTTTAAGGAAGCGGGGTGTGTGTGTGTGTGTGTGTGTGTGTGTGCATGTGAGTCTGGTGTGTGTGTTTCCAAGAAGTGAAGGCCAACTGAGACATGGACGATACTAGCACTTGGTGTGATTATGATTGATAAGCATGTCTCACATGCCAACCAGCTGCGGTGTATTAGTGACATCAAGCACCAGTTCAGCCACATTGTTTCCACTATGCTCCTTCCGTGGCAAGAACCACAGACTCTGTCTGGCAGAAGGTTGGTGTTTTATACAGTGAAGGCACATGACCACGTCACATCATCCGCCCAGCACCACGTAGGGACGACATCACGTGCTGGAGCAACGAAAGGGCATGTTGGTTTTTCTCCTGTTCTCTTTACCAACCACAGGAACTTGAGGGAATCTGAGCAGACTCCATTAGGCCCAGATATCATGTAATAGTAAGGGAGCCACGTCCTTAATCTCTTATGTAACTGAGTTTTCAAGTCATATATTTATAGACTTTTAGAGCAGGAGAAGACCTTAGAGATTATTCCAGTCCAGCCCTTTCATTTTGCAGTAAAATGAAGCACGGGAAGGGGAAATGACAGTCCAAGGTCACAGAGATAGTTAGACCCAGCTGGGATGAGAACACAGGTGCCTTGACTCTTTCCTCTGATTGATCTTCATTTTAAGAGCACCATTTCTAGGTGGAATTACTCTGACTTCAAATGCAGAAGATTTTTAAACCTAACTTTTTTTTTTTTTTTTTGGAAGATACACAAAGAGGAAGGGTAGGAGATCTAGCAGGTTGAAGGTCAATGTGCTCAATAATTGAGTTGTTTGGATTTTTGCATTATAGGGTATTCTTACTTTATGTAGCTTAACAAAATCGGATCCAATTAACTCTGAATTTCTGTTATTCTTTATTCTCTCCAATAACTCAGAAGTGGTTAGAAGTTTTAATCTCACCCACTGTCTCACTGCAAAATTTGAGTATGGATCTGAGATTATGATATGATGTTTATTGGTTTAAAGAAAAGGCTTTCTGAGGAAGGCACACAGATTTAGAATAACTTTGGTTTGAACTTCTGAAGGTTTGTGGGATTCCTCTTTGAAGGACAGACACCATCAGAGCTTGAAGTTATGTAGGCTGTCCAGTGAGTGGGGACACAGCACAACTCTTCCTAAACCTATTCCAAATACATGATTAAAACAGAAATGACCATAATTGCATATTCGTCACTTAGGCCTAACAGTTCTAAATTTGCTTATCATTATGTTTGCAAATCACATTTTTGACCAAAATCTTCCAATGCATTCAATTTTCTTCCAAATGCCATCCTGATGAGTCACGGCTTTGTCATCATGCGACTTTTATAGATCCATGTTCTGCAGTACGTTGCTTCCTGCTCCATGGAAGCCCCAACACAGCACAGGAAGACTCTGCTGGGGACGTTCTCTTCAGACCCTCAGAGACCAGGGTTTGCAGTTTTCCGTTGCACCAGTGACACACTAGGAAGGAACAGCAGAGCTCTCACTGCCGAGGTCTGGGGGTGCCCCTCCCACCCTCTTGCATCATTCCAGGACCAAAGCTACTCTGCAGTGCCCGACACTGGGAATGTCCCAGGACAGTACCCCTTAATCTCCTAGTCATTCACTTATTTTTATTGAGCACGTTCCATGTGAAGGCACTTTATTAGGCTCTGGAGATACAGTGATGAACAGTATAGAAGTGGCCCCTTCTTATGTGGCACTCACAGTCCTTAAAAAGCATGGTGGACTCATAGAATCAGCTGCTACATGATTCCATGGCAGGGATTTAAAAATCAGTGGTGTGGCCGGGCGCGGTGGCTCACGCCTGTAATCCTAGCACTCTGGGAGGCCGAGGCGGGCGGATTGTTTGAGCTCAGGGGTTCGAGACCAGCCTGAGCAAAAGCGAGACCCCGTCTCTACCAAAAATAGAAAGAAATTAATTGGACAGCTAAAAATATATAGAAAAAAAAAGAAAATTAGCCGGGCATGGTGGCGCATGCCTGTAGTCCCAGCTACTCCGGAGGCTGAGGCAGTAGGACTGCTTGAGCCCAGGAGTTTGAGGTTGCTGTGAGCTAGGCTGACGCCACGGCACTCTAGCCCGGGCAACAGAGTGAGACTCTGTCTCAAAAAAAAAAAAAAAAAAATCACTTGTGTTGTAACATAAAAAAGTATCTTAAGTCTGGGGCCTCATAGGGGCTCTTAAAATGATTGAGTTCTCAAATAACTCAACAGTAAAAAAATAATAATAATCCCATGAAAAATGGGCAAAGGACATGAATAGACATTCCTCAAAAGAGGACATACAAATGGCCAACAGATACATGAAAAAATGCTCAATACCACTAATCATCAGGACATGCAAATCAAAACCACAATGACATATGATCTCACCATAGTTAGAATGGCAATTATTAAAAAGACAAAAACTAGCAGATGTTGCTAGGATGTGGAGAAAAGGGAACTCATACACCATTGATGGGAGCGTAAATGAGTGCAGCCACTATGGGAAACAGTATGAAGACTTCTCAAAAGACTGAAAATAGAACTACCATATGACCCAGTAATCCCACTACTGGGTATTTATCCAAGGAAAAGAAATCAGTATGTCAAAGGGATGTCTGTATTTGCATGTTTATCACAGCACTATTCGCAACAGCAGAGATACGGAATCAACCTAAGTGTCTGTCAACAGATGGCTGGATAAAGAGAATGTGGTATATATATGCAGCGGAATACTATTCAGCCATAAAGAAGAATGGACTTATGTCATTTACAGCAACATGGATGGAACTGGAGGTCATTATGCTAAGTAAAATAAGGCAGGCTCAGAAAGACAAATGTCGCATGTGAGAGCTAAAAAACTTGATCTCATGGACACGGAGAATAGAATGATAGGTACCAGAGGCTGAGAAGAATGTGTGGGTGGGAGGGGGATGAATAGAAGTTGGTTAATGGGTACCGACCTATAGTTAGATAGAAGAAATGAGTTCTAATGTTTGAGAGCAGAATAGGGGGACTATATTTAGCAACAATATTTTGTATATTTGAAAGTAACTAGAAGAGAGGACTTGAAACGAAACCAACACATACAAATGACAAATGCTCAAGGTGAGGGACACGCCAAATCCCCTGACGTGACCATTACACATTCTATGCATGCAACACTCCTGTGTACCCCATAAATATGTAAAATATTATGTATCAGTAAAAGAGAAACAAAGATTTTAAGAAAGGATCAAGTTCTGCATCAGATTACGTGTCAGGAGCTAACCTTTCAAACTTTGTGAGCCTCTTGGGAGCCAGGCAACACCCCTACTCTCCAGGAAATGGGGTTTGGGTAACTGTCAGCATGGGGGGCCGTGGTGGGCCATGGGAAGGTTGCCCCACAGCTGTGGGTGTCCTCACTGCCTGGGAGCTGCACACATGGTCTGTGTGTTCTCAGCCCACAGCTAACACTATTGGCAGACCTGAGGGAGGCCTGGATGTAGACTTGCATGCCTCCTTCATCCACAGTGCTGAGGTTAGGGATGGCAAATCTGCTGCCCTGGGGGATCTCCTCAACCCTCCTCATGCCTGGAACACTTTGGGACCGTAAGTTCCCACTTTACCTCTAAATCCAAAAGGCCTATCAGATTTCAAAAGAAGGAAACCCAACCTGAGCATCAGGAAGAACCCAGTCCTGCTAACTCAACAGAGGCTGTGGTTGCAAAGGCAATTGGGGAGCTCTGTAAATGCAGTGTCCAAACAGGCTGAGCTGGTTCTGAGGTTCCAGCAGTGGAAGAAGCTGGAATCCTACAATGGTCTTCTTTTGCCAGGTCTTCTTTTGTCTTCTAGTTGCCCACTAAAAATATCACATAGGTGCTTCCCAAAGTGATTCCAATGACTGTGGAATTCCTCTGCTACTTTCTGCTGCATATACCTTCAAGGTAGTAATTGGTAACCATATAACATAATCTGGTTTCCCAAGTCCTCAAGGGCACCTGTGTGTCCCCAGTGTCACCATTCCATGGTGCATGGAATAAATGTGGTCAATCTAATTCATTGTTCCCTCTTTTTCCCTCCATCCATGTATACTCACAGTGTCTTTAACAAAGAAGAGCCCCCAAATACTCATGACCAACATGAAGATTACCCTCACTAGACTTTTATTCATCACCCTTACCTAGATGGGAAAATGATGAAATCCGTGGGTGATGACTATGCCCCATACATTTCTCCTATCTCTAGGTCCAGCTACAAGCTGCAGCTTTAAGGGGGTCTCTCATTATTCTCCTGCAAGTTCGAGTGGGTGCCTCGTACTGCAGAGTGAAGAGCGGCCATTGAGGCAAGGCTGCCCACTTGAGAGAGAGAGCCCGACATCTCTCCTCCCTGCAGAACCTCCCCTGCAGTTTGCCAGCTGATCCCCGGCCTCCCCAGGACTGAGTGGGCACATGAGAGGCATCATACCAGGGTGGTGAACTGGTCCACGCAGGCGTTGCGGATCTTCTCCGGGGTGGCAGGGCTGTCTAGCCGGAAAAGTTCCTTTATGTTATTATCTGTGTGCTGAGCTCGGGCTGCACGGATGGCGTCCTTGATGGCAAAGAAGATGGAGGCAGCCAGAAAGAGAGGCGGCTCCCCGACAGCCTGAACGGACAGGGCACAGGGCAGGGAGTCAGGGGAGTGGCCCCAGTCTCCATGCCACCACACGGCCCCTGCGGCACTCCTGACCAAGCAGCAGCCCTGCACCAGGAGGGCTGGTGGTGTCAGGGAAGCCCCCACCCAGCACTAACAGGGCCACACCACACACAGCAGGAAGGCACATTTGAAATTCATCAGGGACTGAGAACAATCAGGCTAGTAAATGACTGGACCTCATGGGCATTATTTCTCTTAACTCTTGCTGTAGAATTTTCTCTGATGACGCCATGCAAATACCATGTACCATTTAAAGTTACCCTAGATCATTATACTTTATAGACCACAAAATCCGACATCATGGTAACCCTTTCCTCACTGTCACCAGGCTCGGGGCACGATCTACCTGCAGCTCTGACACCGGCATTTACAGGCACCATAATCATACTTACAGCATCTGCTGGAATTATAGGCGTAATGACAAACAAGAATTAAAATGCTTTCTAGCAGAGGTTGGTTTTCTCTCCCCACAGCAGAGATCGGAGACCACCTACATCAGAATCACTAAGGATACTTGCTAAAAATGCCTGTTCCAGTGCCGTACCCCAGCCCTAGTGAATCAAAACTTCTGGGGGTGGGCCCCATACAGGCGCATTTGTATCATGAACCACAGTGATTCCAACGCATGGTAAAGGGTGAGAGCTGATGGCAAGGGTCACAATGTGTCCCCCCAACACACACAAAGTAAACCATGAGATGAGCAAGTGGGTGTTTCATTGGTTACCAGGGATTAAGTGTCTTCCTTTTGACCTAGGACTACATGAATCAGCTAAATCAATTTTCAATCATTTTTTCATAGTTACTGGAGATAGGGAAGAAACAGAGGAGAGTTATTCACAATCCTCCAGGCATGTTGATCTGGTCTTAAGTTTGGGTCTCGGCAACTGAAGGAGATGAAAGGGTGTGTACAGAGGTGCCACCCCCTCTGCAGGGAAGACACTGCTTCTCACGGGACCACAGCAATGCTGCATCTGTGCGGTCACCTCTGAGGATCAAGCATCGGGGATGCAGGCCTGAGATATGGGCGCAGGCCAGGAATAAACCTACAGGATTCGGTTAAGGAACCCCTCTACATCCACCTAAAGAAGCCAACCTCAACCACCCTCAGGTGGTGTCCTCAATGCAATTCTACTGGTTCTCAGGCAGGACTGCCCTACCCTCTACCACCCTCACCAGGGCCAGTGTCAAATCCTCTTCCCTTGTCAAGATGTGTCCCTTGCAGACCCACCAGGTGGGTGGTTGAGGCCCTTTGCCACCCCCTGTGACCTCCCACAGGGCAGATCAGATGGCAGCACAGACCCGGAGCCACGGTACCTTGGATGCATAGATGGCCTTCTTGTTGGGGCAGTCACGGAGCAGGGACACCCTGAACTCAACAGGGATGCTGCCAAAAGCAGGGATCTTGTAGGTGCTGGGGCCCCGGGTGTGCAGGCTCCCCTCCGGGGAGTAGTGCAGCTCCTCCAGGGTGAAGAGGCCCAGGCCCTGGACAAATGCCCCTTCCACCTGCAGGACAGACAGTGACCATGGTTACCCTGCCTCCCCCTCCCTGAGGACAGATGCCACTTGCCACAGTGGACACAAGGAAGCTACAACAGCCCTCTACTGCTCACCTGGCTCCTGCCCCAGCCCCAGGATGACCTGTCTGGACTTTCACTAGGCTTCAGCTCCAGCACAGCAAAGACATTAACACTGAAGGTCAGTTTTAGAGCTTGTCAGGGTCACGCAGTGGTAGGCATATTTTCTACCAAAACCTGCTGCAGTGCATTTGGAGATGTTCCTTCTGTGTCACCACCGGGGAAATGGTGACCCAAAGCTGAGAAGCAAGTTCACAGGAGGAATTTCTTGGATACCAGATTCTTTGAGACCTACCTGCAGCCTTTTGAACTCCCACCCCTGCCTGTCCTCCGGGGAAGTGCCCCTGCTGTACCTCACAGATCTCTTCTAGGGCCCCTGCCATGCTAGACTGGCCCACGTGTGTGCTCTCCCAGCCCCCTGCTCACAAGAGTGACATGTGGCACCGGATCCGAAGAGGACTGGGGGAGAGACTGGCTGTTAATCATCTTTGGATCTGCAGTGCTGCCCATACCAGGGGCTCCCCAAATGGCTGGTCCTAGTAGGAGCTCCCCAGTGGTTGAATTCATGAACAGATTGACTAATGACTAGATTTCTGTATACTCAGTAATTGCTCATTTTTGAGAAAAGCAATTTATATTTTCTACCAAATGGTCAATACTTGAACTCTTGATTCCTTCTTCTGTTTTCTCCCATTCCACCTATTCTGCTCAATAACCCTGTGTTTTCCTGAAGTGATTTTCTTTGGGCCATCCCTTTTCTCCTCCTGCTTGAGCCCTTGTCTTTCGCTCCCAGGGTGCTCCACTACCCGCCGTGTGGCCGCATTTATTTCCTGGAGCACAAGGCTGTTCTGGGTGGAAGAGAGATGAGAAGGGAGAAAACTTTTCTGACCTCAGACTCTCCAAGCATCAATCCCAAACTAAATCTCCACACCACACTGTGCTCATTCCCAAACTGTGTGCGCACACATGCATGCGTCTGGTGTTTCACCATTCATCTTCTTGTTCTCTGAGGGTAAGTGCCCTTTCAAGTCAATCCATATCGGTTTGCTTTCTGCCTTGACTGCTGGGTAGGCTATCGCGATCTAAATCCCACTCTGAGGAGACTCCCTAGGTACCATGTTCTGATCACCTAAAGACGACATTGGACCCTAGCAGGGGATGGGGCACACCAGTGGCCAAGTCCACCACCACCCTGGTCCCCCAGGAGCCTCACCTGCCCAATATCAATGGCAGGGTTCAGACTGGAGCCAACATCCATGACGATGTCTGTGCGGAGGTTCTAAAGTAGACACAAAATGGAAGCAGTCTGAGAGAAGAGGGAGGTCTGCAACATGACAGATGGGTTTTGGTGACCCTCAGTCTGTAAGTGCAAGCACAGATAGCACTTCCCCAAGCAGAAAGCTCTGGGCATGCTCAGGTGGAAATGTTAATATTCTCGCCAAGCCTCTATGGCCATTGTCACTGCTGAAGTTTGAGTTCTTAGCAGCTAGGTAGGGAGTAAGGAGTGGCAATGACCTCTCAGCAATTGGAAATAACTATGCACACATTTATGTGTGAGTAATAAGGACAGGTTCCCAGGGACCTGGGACTCGAACTCGAGTCTGGGCAGATCGTGTAAAGAAGGGGTCAATAAACTGTGACAAGTAAAAATTACATGAAACTCAAATTTCAGCATCCATAAATAACATTTTGTTCTCTTCTCTCCCTTAGTACTAAAGTTTTGCGAACTTCTTACCTTGTGATCCCCTGTTAAGCAGTCAATTTCTACTTCAGAGCAAGCCACCCCATACGTGAAGTAGTGGAAGGGGTTCCCTGAGTTCGTCTCAAAGCTGTAGCCAATGTTAGGTGTTCTGGAAGAGAAAAGAGAAGGTATCCCACATGCATTAAGATGAACACACCCCCTTCCCCATACACACACAAACAGCCTGTCCCACAAAATCTTTGAACCCTCAAAGTTTTATCTTTTCATTTGGCTGCCCACGTGTTTTGAACAATTTGAACCTGTTAATGAAACCTACGTATTCCAGAGCATTTTATCTCATCTCTCCTTTATTTTGCCAATCTTCCTTCTGTAATCACTCTGTACAGCCTCCACATGGTAGAAACAGAGGTGACAGGTTTGTCTGAGCTCACGAAGGACATGAAAGTCACACTCTAAAGGATCTGCTGAATTAAAAGCCAAGGTCTTTAGAACTGAAGGTTCTGCCTGTGGTGGCCCTTGGGCTGTTCACACAAGTTTACCTGCTCACCAGGCTGTTCACCTTTCTCAAGGTGAAAGTTAACAATATCAGTATCTCACGCCAACCTGGGTGCATCTTTAAGAAACCACTCCCCACCTGCTGGCCCCTTTAAAAATTCAAGAAATGATTCAAAGAAAATGTTATTAATAGAAACGAATGCTCCCTCATACATTTTTTCTTTTCCAATCCTGAGTACCTTATACAATTCCAATTTTGCAAAAGTCATATATATGTATGTGTATGTATTTGTGTGTATGTGTGTATTCACACACTCACAGTTTATAATACACTGTATCTATGTTATTCTATATGTTACACAGAAATAACAAAAACTGACATGGCCAGAATCTGCACAAAAACAAAACCAATACAGGGCCGAGGGAAAGACTTCTCCCAGGAGAAACCACCACCTCCTTGAGCCCTGACTTCACCATGTTCATCTCGGTTCACCTTTATAAAACCCTAGTTTTATGAACTTCAAAAATGTCATAGGAACTTATGAGAAAATCTTCATTATTTTGTGTTTATGTTGGCCAAATATTACATAACCCAGGAAGCATTGGGAAAGCATTTCTTTGCCTAATATATACATGATGTATATTAACTCTCATTTGTTTTTTATATATATAATGTGTTCTATATGTCATTATATATTATTGTATTATAATGTTATTATATTATCTATATGTTCATATACTCATAAAGGACATTTTAAAGCAAACATTGAAATATTTTCCAAATCTATTGATCTGTGAAAGAAATGATGCTAGTGAGATTTCCCAGAGGTGGCTAAAACATTATGCCTCACAGTAAGTATTATCAGATCTTTTCACAGCTTTTGAGTCAGACGGGCAGGGTCTCCAGCTATTCACACTGCTACTGAATTGTAAAGTTGCAGAAGATACATGCCCTCTTCTAAACCTCACTGCATTAACAAGTTTCCATTGTATTCTGCATTTTGGAATGAGACCCCGTGCTCTAAATCCTCCTCTTGTTCTTTTGAGAGAAAGCCTCTACAAAGAAATCCAGTGCACAGTACAAAGAGGCGCCATGGCTAACTCAGAACACCGACACTCTGGTCCGTGCAGGAGAACTGCGAGGGAGGAGTGGAAGGTGTTTGGCCCAGCATATCATAGAGGGGGAAACAGGTTCAGAGGCAACCACCGATTTCCCCAAGGGAAATAGTGCACTTTGAGACCAGAACTAGAAGGCAGGTCTTCTGAGATGGCAGCTTGTGCTTCTGCCTCCTTGGCACATAGTTCTGTAATCCCACATATGTTAGGGCATCTTTAGACTGAAATTAGTGGAAGTTCCTTGAAGAGAGCAGGGTTTCATTGGCACTGCTCTCTCCTGACCCCAGGCTGCAGGACTCAGTGCTGGAGGAGTCCTGGGGGTGAGGAGGACGCATGCTGGGAGCTGCGCGAGAACAGCACCGTACTTACTTGTAAAACCCAGTGGCAGACAAGCTCACTGCGTCCATGTAGGCAGCTGTGACCTGAGGAGAGGAAATGGCCATCAGGAAGGGGCAAGAGTGGTTTCCAGAAACCCCGACCCACTCAAGCTTTCCTGAGCTCATCCTCTCCATCCGGAAGCCCATCAGTCCTCACTGGGGACTCCCACTTCCACGCCTAATCCCGCATTCTCACTGCGCCACCTGCACCGGGTCCTCACCACCCCGAGCCTGGGGTCCTACTGCAGCCTCTCACCTGGTCGTCCCGCCTCACGTCATCTCCCTACCATACCACACTGACCATGCCACTGCCCTACTCCAGCGCCTTCAGTGACTCCCCATCGCCTCGAGAGCAAATGCCTGACGTTAAGGACCACAGTCTTCTCCCTGGCCTTTTGTAGCACACCACGGCCACCCCAGCCACACTCAAGCATTAACCCTCTCCCAACCCTTCTGTGACCCCGCACCTCCGCACCTTCGTTCATGTCATTCCTCCCTTGCGTCTGTCCAATTCTTTTCTCCCCTCAACAACTACCTCAAACTTGCCTGTCCAGTCACTTCTCCTTGGGGATTATTCCCTACTCTCGCCACTATAAAAGTAACTCTATTGTGCTCATTTTATACTTAACGTGTTATTTTACAGATGTGAAAACTAACACTTAGGGAAAAAGACTTTGACCTAAGATCTGCACTAGTCATACATTAATAATATAATGTGTATGCATGTGTATACACGTGCTTGAGTGTGTGTGTGTGTGTTGGTGACTGTGGCTCATTTATTGGCGTTTTCTGTTTACAAAGAGCACAAGACTACATGGCTGGTGGTTGAGGACAAAGCTCCGATCAACGGGTCAGACAGTGGAGAATTGCTGTCAAGATTGTTGTTGAAAACGTTTAAATTGCCTGACAAATCCACACGAAAACCCAAACCACCAAAATCAAGCTGCATTCCTGTGGCATTCATGCATACGGTATCTGTGAGTGTGGGAAGGGAAGGTCACGCGAGGCATAGCAAGAGGAGTAGGTCTGAAAGAATAATGTATTTTTACTCTGTTGAGGGAGACTTGTACCCTCTGAGCTGGCCCACGTGCAGCACGTTGTTTGTGTCACTGTCATGCCCAGCTCTCCCACCCCAGCTCTGGGGGCTGAGGGAGCTGAGCCGCCATTGGTATCTCTGCCTGTGGGAGGAGCCGCCGTCTCCCACCTGAGGGAGACTTCCATGCAGCTTCCCTCTGAGGAGTTCTGACTGGCAGCCCTCTGATCCAGAAGTCAGAGAATTGGGCATGAGTGCTTGTTCTGTCACTCCTGAAATCACAGGAGTGATGTAAGCTCTCGGGTGACGTCTTCACCCTGCTCTCTCACAGAGGGAGTCTCAGTGGACCCCGACTCGAGGGGTGGGTGACAGGACTCACTGCCAGGGGTGACTCTCTGAGGGATGGGGCTTGAAGAAAGCCAGGCTCAGTGAGGCTCCCAGACAAGTGGGGCGTAGGACCAGGTCCAGGTGAGCACGCTGAGCCGTCACCCATCCTCTCAGGCTCAGGGCGGCCAACTCCCCAGTTCCCACAAGGCTGTCAAAGTCATGGATCAGAAATGTTCCTCAAGTGACTTCCCTCCCCTGTGAAAAGCACAGAGAAAGGGGCCCAGCAAGGTTGAGCATTTACTCATCCTGTGAGATCACACAGACCCCTCATCTTCTCTTTGCCTGTTTGACTAGGTCATCGTCTCTTATGTGTGTTTTGAGTCGGAACAGAGGCCCTGGTGTTGATCTTCCTCTCACATGCAAAAGTAACTTGGATCTGCTCAGACTCACCCAGTCTTCCCAGGAGCCACTGGGATTCTTTCTCTTGAAAGGTTCCAGCCTCTTCAGGATGGTCTGACAAGCTTCCTGCAGAAAGCACCCACCACACACCAGACACATCAGTCGTCTGCACTCTACAGCCCGGGTAAAACCCGAGGGCCTCTGCAAGGCCACCTCCAAGCAATGCTGTGCCCAGGGTACCACTCAGACAGCCTTGTTACCACTCTCCAGAATGACCGAGGCCCAGGGTGGAAGCCACAGGACTCTGCCAAAGGGGCCATCCTGGCCTTTGCTTGGAGAGCACTTCCTGACCCAGCTCTTAGGCTGACAGAGGGTGAAATGCTTGAGGGGCTGGCCCACAAGGAGGTGCCTTCTCCCATTAAATTCCTTGTTTGAGTACATCCCCCGCATGGGCCAGAAGCAAGTGGGTCCGACGTGGCTGACCCATCATTGATTTCAGTCCATTGTCTCGTGGCCGGTTCCTACACCAGGGAGGACGTCTTTCCAGAAGCCTCTGCTTCCCCCAGCACCACTCCCCACCCTGCACTCATCCCTCCTGGCTGTGATGGAAGTGATTACAATACTTGGGGCTCTCTTTTAGCTTGGTGTCTAGAGAAACAGCATCCTCCTAGATAAAACTGCCAAAGGCACAGCCATAGCCAGAGAGCCTGAGAGGAGCCATTCCAGCTCCCACCCAGGGAGACTCTCCAGGCCGGAAGCCCTGGGCTGGCCCTCTGCTCTGCTGGCCCCCCCAGGCTCCTTACATAGATGGCCTGCCCGTTGATGTCACTGCTGCAAGAGGCGGCTGTGGGAGAGGCGTTGGGCACAGTGTTAGTGCTTGTCTCACTTATATAAATCTTGGAGGTGGGTATTTTCAGAGCTCTGCTGGCCACCTGCAAAAAGAGAAGATATTGCTTTCTAGAAAAATTGTTATCATGGGACTTGGCTGCCTTCTCCCCAAGATGGGATTCATGTTCTCTGTTACAGGCAAGAAAATAATTTTGTAAGCTCTAATCTTATTGATTCTGGGATGTTCTCACACCTGGCTGAATTTGAAGCAGCACTTGATGGAGTAATTTTGTTGGATAAAATATTCATAAACCTAATGGTGACAAACAGTGCCTTTTAAAGCTAACCCTGGCTTTTCATAAAATCCAATTTGGCCAGCCCCTGTGAGCCGAGCAGATGTGCTGACTCTAATCCAGCCCCATTATCCTAGCTCTCCTCTGAGGACTCTCTTGGAGCGTGGGAAACTAGCTACCTTTATAAACACAGGACACCCACCTTCCACACAGAGATGCTGGTAACGGAAGTATCTGCAGAGATCACTTGCAAAATCCTTTTGCACGTGTGAGGAAACTGAGGCCAAGAGGGTGAGAAGACTTGCCCAGGATCACATGCATGTGTGCGACAGGGCCGGGCCAGATCTCAAGCCTGCTTCTGCATGGGTGTGTCCCACTGCTCTGTTGCTCACAGCACCTTCCTTTACAATGGACACCTCAGTGTTGCGAGGACACCCACAGTACCGCTGCTCACCTGGACCATCTTGGTGTGCAGGCCCTGGCCCATCTCAGTGCCCCCATGGGTCAGCAGCACAGAGCCGTCGGTGTAGACGTGAATCAGGGCTCCTGCCTAAGCAGAGAGAAGGACACCAGACACAAAATTCAGTAAATCCTAACTCAGCTTAAGATGTGGGACGAAAGGTATGGAACTCAGGAAAAAGCACACCAGCAGCAACTTTCTGGATGTAAACTGCAGATGAAAATGACGGCAGTATAAATCTCATGATGTAATCACATAGACCATCAGTGGGATGCAAAATGTCTTCATAGCCTTCTCTTGGTGTCTCTTACCCTCAGAGGGAAGTAGGCCAAATCTCTCTGTGCTCACTCTATAGATGAAGAAATAGGACGAGAGAGGCAGAGTAGCTGTCCTCAGTCCTGCACTCAGGAAGAGCAGGAACTAGAGGTTGGTCCCAGATCTCTGAGTCTCACTGCCTGTGACATATTGGACAAATAAGAACATGCAAGCTCGACTTTCATTGAAATGGCAAAGAGCTCCCCTGGTCAGCTCTGTTACTGGTGACAACGAGATTTCCCTTGCAATTCTGTCAACAGGGGATAATGAGGCCCCTGTCTGCTGGAAATGGACGAAATTGTATAAGGCAATTACCTGATTCAGAAAAGGAACTGTGAAGCTTATTCCAAACTTGACAGGAATTATACACAATCCTCTCTTTTTCCAGCAATTTTCCCTGGAGAAAAAGGAACATTCTCATAGAAGCTTCTCTGCCATATTTACGTCAGATTGCACATATTTTCAGGCAATATCTTCAGTCAACATCATATCGAGACAGGACATCCTTGCAGCCGCCCATATCGTCATTGTCATAACTGAGTTGTGCCTCAACAGTGTAGACAAAAATGAGAAGGGTGGAAATTTGGGTCATGGGTTCTTTAGTGCAGCTGGAACACAGCCCACCCTGGGTGGAATTCACATGGGGTCAGAGTGCTCTGGTGATTTTGGACTGTCATCACCTCAGGGTGACACTGTGGCTTACTGATGACAATGATGCCTTCTCTGTGCTTTGTATTTGGTTATCTGAGTAGCTCCAAGGAGAAGACAGAACCAACATAATTATGTACATTTTACCGATGATCAAACTGAGGCACAGGGAGATGGAGTGACTGCCAAGTCCCGTTTACAGATTAGTGTCAGAGGTGGGTACATAACTGTGGTGCTCTTAGTCCTGGGCTATAACACGGTGTGCCCAGAAGGCACACACATGTGTAAAGATGAACCACAGCTAATGGGCTATGACGCTGAGTGCAGGCTTGAGCCCATCTGCCCCAGGCTGAAGATCATTACAAGATCAAAGAATTGCTTTGAGTTGGCAAACTCAACAGCCTCAGAAGTTAGCCATTAAATTATCAGATGCAGAATATGAAACCCAGGAGAGCACCAGCACATGGGACTCCCTTCCCGGCTCTTACCTGTTGAACTTGTCGACCTCACTCTTCCGAGCGTGGTACTGAGAGCTTGCTAGGCATTCATCCCAGCACCTGGGCAAGGTGAACCCCTCAAGCTTCTGGTTGAAGTGTGTCAGGTCCCCTTCTTTGTACAGGTTTTTCCTCCTCACCTTCCCAAGGAGAGAGACACCGAGGCCTTGAGAGTGGCAAGACACTGGGAGGGCACAACCTAAACTGAAGCCTCCAGCCCCATCATCAGGACCTGCCTGTCCTCCACCCCCATGGGAGATGCCCAAGATACAAAGCCACCCTCGCCGCCAAGTGGGCTAACCCACTCTGACTCGTGCTACCAAATTCCCAGCTTACCTCCTCTGCGGGCAGCCCACAGGTCACGGCAACTTCACTCATCCAATTCTCAGCAATGAGCATGCCCTGCGGCCCCCCAAAGCCCCGGAAGGCCGTGTTGGAGGGCAGATTGGTCTTGCACAGACGCCCAGTGCCCCGGATGTTGGGGATTTTATAGCAGTTGTCCATGTGGAATAGAGCTCGCTCCATTATCTGAAGCACAGGAAACCAAAATGGGAGAGAACGGTGAGTTGATTCCATCAGCAATTCAAATAGGAACCCGGAGGGCTGCATCCATGCCTTGCCTTCTTCAAGAAGATTTTGTGTAGATGTAGACAAGATTATTCTAAAATTTATATGGAAAAGCAAAGGAACTGGAATAGCTAAAATAATTTTGAAAAATAAAAAAACAAGTGGGAGGAACCAGCCCACTCAATTTAAGATTTATTATATAGCTACAGTAATCAAGGCTGTGTGGAATTGGTAGGGGGGATAGTCACATAGATCAGTGAAACAGAATAGGGAACCCAGACATAGACCCACTCAAATATGCCCAGTTGATTTTTTACAAAGGTTAAAAAGCAGTTCAGTGGAGCAAGGATAGCCTTTTAACCATGGTGCCGGAGCAGTTAGACATTCATAGGCTGAAAAAAAAAAAAAGGAAGAAAGAAATGAAAACTCTTAATCTAAGTCTCACATCCTATACAAAATTAACTCAAAGTGGCTCGTGGGCTTACATGTAAAATGTAAAACTGTAACACTTTTAGAAAGATAGGCAAAAACCCCCAGAATCAAACGTCAGGCAAAGAGTTCTTAGACTTGACACCAAAAACACTATTAATAAGAATATAAATTTATCAATTTGACTTTGCCAACATTTGAAACGTTTGCTCTTCTCAAGATGCTGTTAAGATGAAAAGACACTGCACACCAAGGGAAAATACTTGCCAAACATGTATCTGACAAAGGACTCGTCTACGACATGTACAAACCTCTCAAAATTCAACAGCAAAACCACACAGAGTCCAATTATAAGATGGGCAAAAGGCATGAACACACATTTCATTGAAGAGTATATACAATGGAAAATAAGCACATGAAAAGATGATTAACTTCATTAGCCATTAGAAAAATGCTAATTAAAACCACAGTGAGATATCACCGCATACCTATCAGAATGGCTAAAATTAAAAATAGTGACAACACCACCAAATTCTGGCATGGGTGTGGAGAGAAAGAATCACTTAAACACTGCTGTTAGGAATGCAAAATAGTACAGAAACTCTAGAAAACACTTCAGCAGTTTCTTCAAAATCCAAACTTGAAACCACCGTATAATCTACTAATTGCACTTTTGGGCATTTGTCCCAGAGAAATGAAGATTTATGTTAATACAAAAATTATGCACAAATATTTATAGCAGTTTTATTTGTAATAGTCAAAAACCTGGAAACAACTCAGATGTTCTTCAATGGATGAATGGTTAAACAAACTGTTGGACATCCACACTATGGAATACTACTAAGTGATGCAAAGGAACAAATAACTGATTCACACAATTTGAATAAGTCTCTAGAGAATTATGCTGAATGAAAAACTCAATCCCAAAAGTTTCATGCTGTATGATTCCATTTATATAACATTCTCAAAAATGACAAAATTATAGAAATGGCAAACAGATTAGTGGTTACCAGGGGTTAGGGAGGGAGTAAGAGAGGGAGGGAAGTGGGTGTGGGCATAAGAGGGCAACTTAATTCATCTTCATGTTTTGTATCTTGACTGTATCAATGTCAATATCCTTGTAGTAATGTTTTAGTATAGTATTGCGAGATGTAACCTTTGGAGGAAGCTGGGTTAAAAATAATCCTTTAGAACATGGACAAAAAATATGAACAGAGGTTTCCCCAGAGTATATAGCACATACATGGGATTGCTCTGTATTATTTTTTACAATTGCATGTTAATCTACAATTATCTCAAAATAAAAATTTCAGTTCCTAAAAAGAGTACAGTATGATCTTGGCTGCTAAATTACAGACAAGGAGGTGATGTTGCTTGGTACCAAAGGGACCCAAAGAACAATGCAGGACCCAGGTTCTCTGAATCCCGTTTCAACTGTAAAGACATAACTCACTACTTAGGTCAATCAGTTATTTATCAAATCAATAAGTATTTAAAAAGTGCTCGTTGTGTGTCAAGCACTATGGAAGGCATGGAGGTTACAAAGAGGAATAAAATATATTTACTGCTATTGAAGGGTCCACAACCCAGTAGGAAAGACAAAAACCTGGACTTATAACCATGATTTCAGGTGTAAGTGCCACAGGTAGTTTACACGAGTATAAGGGACTAGGGTAATATTTGCTCTGCATGATAAAGAATCAACAGGAGTCTCCCAGATGGAGTTGAAGGGAAGTATGTTTTAGCTATAGAAAACATCATGTACAAAGTCAATGGAAGGTACAAAGAAAAGGTCTGTGTGGCAATCAGAGATCTTCAATGTGACTAAAGAAAAGGGAACATGACAGGGGTTGGGGATGAGGGTACAAAAAAGTCTAAGACTTATGCACTGAAAACTACAAAACATTGGTGAGAGAAATGAGAGGAGATTTAAATAAACAGAAAGAAAATCCATAATTATGGATTGAAAGACTCAATATTATTAAAATGGTAATTCTCCCCAAACTAAACTATAAATTCAACACATTTCCTATCAAAATTTCAGCAGGCTGTCTTGTGGAAATTGACAAGCAATTCTTAAAATCTATATGAAAAGGACTCCAAATAGCCAAAATAATCTTGTAAAAGAACAAAGTTGGAGGCTCAGACTTCTCAATTTCAAAATTTACTATAAAACTGCTATAATCAAGAGAGTATGGTACCAGCATAATTATAGATATGTAGATAATGGCACAGAATTGGGATTCTAGAAATAAATCTTATGTTCATTGTCAACTGTTTTTTCTCCCTAAATTTGCCAAGGAAATGCAATGGGGAAATGGTAGTTTTCTCAACAAATGGTGTGGGGACAGTCGAATATACACATGCAAAAGATGAATTTAGCTCCTTACTTCATACCATATAGAAAAATTAATTCAAAATGGATCATGTTAGACTTCATCAAAATTAAAAACTTTTCCACTTTACAAGACAGCAATTAACAAAATAAAGAGACAAGGAACAGAAAGGGAGAAAATATTTGCAAATCATATATTTGATAAAGGATTTATACCTAAAATATATAAAGATCTCATATAATTTAATACCAAGAAGGCAAATAATTCAAAAAGGCCAAAATTCTTGAACAAACATTTGACCAAAGAAACCATATGACTGACTACTTAGCATATGAAAAGATATTCAACCTCATTAGTCATTATGGAAACACAAATTAACACCACAATGAGACATCACTCCACATCCACAAGAACAGCTGTAATCAAGAGACAGACACTACCAAGTGTTACTTAGGATGTGGAGAAACGGGAACCCTTACACATTGTTGATTGAAATGAAAAGTAGTTCAGTCACTTTGGAAAATACTTTGGTCATTTCTTTATGTTAAGTTCATCAAAGACTCAGAAATTCTACTCCTAGGAATCTACTAAGAGAAATAAAAATATACATCTGCACAAGTCTGGTACAAGAATGTTCAGAGCAGCATTATCCATAAGAGCTAAAAACTGAAAATAACTCAAATGTCCATCAAGAGGTGACTGGGAAACAAAATATGGTATAATCCGTAGAATGGAATATTATCCATCAGGGAAAAGGAATGAAGTCCTGACACATGCTATAACATAGATGAACCTTCACAACACAATTCTGAGAGAAAGAAACCAAACACAAAAGACTATGTAGCGTTGAGTTCTGTTTCTACGACCTGGTGACGCAAGGAAACTCTATGAAGACAGAAAGCAGACTAGCATCTGCCTGGGCCTGGGGAATGGGCGCGGGAGTGACTGCAAATGGGTACAAGAAATCATTTTGGGGTGATGGATGTTCAAAAACTGGATTGTGATAATAGTTGTACAGCTCTTTAAATTTACTAACAACCATTAAATTATACACTTCAAATGGATAAACTTTACTTACGTAAATTACACTTCAATAAAAAGGTTTTTAAAAATGTAAAGGCAATGCAATTTATTATTTAAAACTAAAACATCACAGAAATGTGTACTGTAGAAAATGACAGTGTGCACCCCTAAATACCACTCCAATCGCTGTTAACAATTTGATCACGTTAACAGTTTGGTGTATGTTCCTTCAGACTTTTTCCATGTCTATCATATATGTATATATGTGATATATGCACATACATATGTATGATATGTATGTGCATATACACATATATATGTTTACAAAACATGCATACACACACACGATGCCACCACACCATACACAAAGCTTTGTAACTAATTTTGCCAGCTTGGCAAAGTATCTTGAACAAGAAGGATGCGTTTATCGGTGAAGTAATCGGATCGACTCTGTTCTTTAGAGATTCATCAAGACTGGGAAACCTGAAGGTGGGGACCAGTTAGGAGGCTATGGCAACAGTAACAAGCAAGAACTGGGGAGGCCTGTGCCTGTATGGGAACAGGCTGTGGGGCACACCCTTGACCCCCCAGTGACCCCTGGGTGCAGGGGTGGGTGTGGGTCCTACTTACACCCCTAGAAAGATCCTGGGTGTTCCCTGCGTTGCTGAAGTGATCCACCTCCAGAGCCACGACCTTCCCGGTCTTCATGAAGCCAACCTGATAAAAGGAGAGTGATGTCTCAACGGTCCCCTTCCTCTGTCTCCGATCCTCCCCTCCCACTTACGCTACCTGGAAGAAACAGAAAGAACATCACACTGTGGAAACAAAAGCGACCTGAAGAGGTCACCAGAAGGTAACAGGTGAAGAGGAGAGAAACTAACACCTCCCCGTGGTGCACCCTTGGCACCTGGAGCCTGCACACACTCGTCCCCACACCCCTCCCTCCTGCTGCCTGCTCCCAGTTCTAGGAGAGGAAGTAAGGAGGTCAAAAAGAGAAGTTAGTCATGACTAACTTTCAGGGCAGGGAGGGGAGGGCCGGGAAGAGAAACTAGGGAAGATACCAGAGCGTCCCCTCGCAGCCCTAGTCAGCAGACAAAAAAAGCTACACTTTGCAGGAGCATCATGTGCTCGCACATCCTTGACCTCACGTAACCATTCAAAATACCCTTTACAGGCCATTTTACTAGCGTGGAAACTGGGACCCCAAAAGATCAAGGTACTTTCTTCAGGCCCACTAGAATCTGAGAATAAGAGAAATACGATCCCTTTCTGGGAGTTCGATCATGAAATAAAGTTGGAATACGTCGAAGGGGTGATGTTCAAGGCAGTTTGTGGAGAGAGGGGACGCCCAGGTTTCCAGAGCTGGGCTGAGCCCTGGAAGGCTGTACCAATGTGTACAGGGAAAGGCTGCATTGGTCACCCGTAGAAACCCAGAAAAAGATTGTCCCAGAGGGAAGTCTGGGCAGTGCCCAATCCATGGCCTGGTAGAGCAGGTGCCCGTCCTAACATCTTGTGCTGTGCAGGCCCCTGGGAAGTTTTATTTTCCACTGTAAATCACTAAGCAGTCACTGAGTTTTCCACGAGGCCTGCGACGTGTGAACGCTCAGCCACGCAGCACAACGTCTTCACCCCAGGTCTGCTGACAGATCACACTTCTGAGCCTGACTGGCCAAAGGCCAGATGCAGACCACGGCAGATTCACAGAACTCACGAAACCACCCTTGGGAGTGGCCTGCCAGCCTCCCTGGGACCACCTTTCTGTATTGCTGTTGGCCTATTTGTATCTCTCTCCTTACTATTTCTTCTTTGAATTTCTACAGATAGTGGAGCAAAAAGTACAGTCCCTGGACCTTTGGCCTCAGGTTTACCTACAAAATGACACTGCCCACCCCAGCACAGCCCCCAAATCTAGAACCTTGTATCTGGCCAGGAAGGGATGTCTGCCACCAGTTATCAGCATGTCCTCATCACGGTCCAGCATGCAGCGCACAGGGCGGCCGGTCCTGAGGGGGGTTCCAAGAGAGTTAGAGACCTGTGAGTTTTCAACAACAGCCCAGCCCCATGAGTCTCAGGGAGGAAAACAGCAGAGAAGCTGCTTTTTCCACCTGGTCCACCAAACAGGCCTATACTGGGCTTCTTGGCCACCTAGGCACTATGTGGGACAAGGCACGGAATACAGGATGTGAGTATGTCCTCAGCCTAGGAGCTCACGGCTGGGCATGGGAGATCAGACGTGAACACATGCGTCAAAACACAAAGAAAGAGGCGATGTTACCCTCACCCTGCATCCCAGGGTTCTAAGAACAGAGAGCTATGAGAATTCAAAGCAGGGGAAAACTACTTCCAACAGGGAGAAATCCAGAAAGCCTTCCTGGCAGAGGCAGCCTCATTCTTTTTCCCAGAGCCAGCTGGAAGAAGCAGGCTTTGGTACTCACCTGTGTGCAGCCAGGGCCACTGCCAAGGACACCACAGTGCTCCGGGTCTCCTTCCCTCCAAAGCCTCCTCCCATCCTCTTCACTCGGACCAAAATCCGGTTTGCTGGAACCCCCAACATATTTGCAACAAAGCTCTGTGGGCAAGAGACAAAACTCTCTCACTGAACGCATCATCTGGACTTATTTCAGAGCCTCCCTGATACGCATGGGCCTAATTACTGCTGTGAATTCTGAAATTCCTTGATTCAAAATCCCCGTGCAGCCCTGTGGCTAGTGGTGCTGGGGCCCAGCACTCATAGTCACTGCAGACTGAATTCAAACACCTGTTTCTAACCATAGAGGTGAGCAGCTGGTCACAGGATACTTTCAGGAACTCATTCCACCTGGCCAGAGACTGGTGGGTCACGAAGGTAGGACCAGCTGCCAAAAATGCTGGCAATCACTGTCGCATTACAGGTAGTGAGAAATGGGGCAGATTTAACCTGGTGCAGATAATTTAGTGGTCCTTGCAGCTATCACTTAATCCAACCCATCTGTTTTACAGATGAGGAAACTGAGGCAGGCTATGACTTGACCAAGGCCATATGGCACTAGAATGATAATAGCCAACACTTAGCAGGCTCTAGTTCAAGTATTAAAACTCTCCTAATCATTGCAATAACCTTACCAGGCCCCATTTTAAAAAGATGAGGAAACTGAGGCCAAGAAAGATCATAGAACAAGCTCAGTGACACTGCTTGTTGGTGACAGAGTCTGGCACCAGGATCATTACACTCAAGTCCCCTTCTGGACCAGCCCAGATCTCCCTCTTCCCATTTGCCACACTGCCCTCTTGGTCAGCAAGGAGCTTCCCATTATCCTCCCCGTCTCTTGAGGTGACCCTCATGACATCTACCTGGGTCTTCATGGTGTTCTGTGTAGACACAAAGAGTTCCATCTCCCCTGCCTCGTTTTTGGGGACAGCAATGGTGCAGTTAGTCTCCAGGTAGAAGTGTTCTTGGCCACCAATGTACAGCTCTCCTGAGGAAGCAATGAGACCCCTCCGAGTGAGCCTGATGCTACAGAAGGGGCAAGTTTGCTTTGCAAGAGAGTGTGCTCTGCCAAGTGGCCTGAGCAGGAGCCAACTGTTCACAAGTAACCTCTGGGGTCCCTGACTGGGGTAAAAAAGACCCCAAAGTCTCAGCCATCTGGGAGCTGAAAGCTCTCCCACCCCTCACAACAAAGAAACCAGATGACACTGAAATGCATCAGTTGCAAAGTGCTTTTCTCATTGCAGCCAGTGGAAATCAAGGATTTCCAAAACTATCATTGTAAAAAGTAAAGAAGGAATTAATAGATGTGATTTGAAAAGCTGAAAATGAGAGTATCTCCCGGAACTGAAGCTACCAGGCCTACTGCAGAGTTGTCTACATAGTAGTGACTTGGCAATGCACAACAGCCAATGTCAAAAACAATCCCCAAAGGGGCTAATCAGCAGCCTTGTCCTGGGTGAGAGCTATGGGCCTAATTTCAGAGTGTCAGAGACAGGGGGGAGGGAGAATATGGGAGAGGGCTAGCTGAGGATGGGTCAGGACTGCCTTCAGGCAGGCGGAGAGGGAGAGGAGTCTGTGTGGTTAGAGGCTTAGCAAACACAAGGCCGGCCAGGCATCAGTGGCCATTATCTTCCCCAGTCTTCCAAAGCAGAATACACTAGAATCTCTCTAGAATCACTTAGATCCAGCATAGAGAGAGTGGAGATTAAGATAAATGAAGCTCTTTCCTAGCCAACTGTCTACTATTTTGTTACAAACATCGGAGAGCATCTTCTGTTAGGAAGTGTTTGGAAATCACTTCCCTGTTTCAAGGCTCAATGTGTATCTCTTGAATTTAATTCGCAAACCAGGGCCGCCCCATTCTCGCTGCTGCACGGTGCGGCTGTACCTGAGACAACATTATCTGCTTCCGAAAACCCCTTCTTGAGGTCTCCCTTCTCAATCTTCATCTCAGATCCATAAAAGGAGTTGTTCTTTATAGCATCCTGAGGATCACAAAGAAGCTTCGGTCACTTGGCTTTTAGGGGGAAGAAGATGGCTTCTGACTGGGGAAAGAGAAGCGCTCTGAACTGTTGCCTCTCTCTTCCCATAAGTGAATCTCTACCATCTTCATAGACAGACTTAAATTAAGCCCTATTGTACTCCAGGGAGTCATATTCCTCCATTTCCTCAGCTGTAGATGGACAACCCTGGATTTTGAGGAAAAGCAAAGAATCCCACAAGGAAGTAATTAGAGCTGAAATTTGGGGGAGGAGGAACTCAGTTTAGTCGATAGTGGACTGAGCCTAAGATCATAAAGAAGATTTCATTGGACTAGAAACCCCTGGGCTGGAAAGGATTTTAAAGTCCTGTACTCAAATCCCTACCTGCTACTCGAATCTCCTCTAGAAGATCCTAATAAATGTGTCTCCAGGGACAGGGAGCTCACTCCTCTACACAGGCAGCCATACTTAGTTACCTCGATTGTGATAATGGCTGGAAGTTCTTCGTAGGTGACTTTCACCCCTTGAGCGGCTCTCTGAGCATGTTCTGGGGTGTCAGCAACCACAGCACCGATGATGTGCCCAACACAAGTAACCTAGGAGCAGAGACAGACTGCTAAAGAACATAACCAAGTTCCTCATGAAGCAAATTATTTTCAGATTGTTCAAAAAGGCAAAGGAAATCCCTGCTGTCACAATCAAAGCACATTTTAGGAATGTACGGCAGCCTTTCTGTTCCCTTATCCTACTAATTAAGATTATACACCTCTTCATAAGTGCTTAGAATTGGTAGAGCTGGAACAGGACTTAGAGATCACTGGGATCAGGATGACAAACAGATTTCATCTCAAGGGCCAATCTGATTACTTGGTACTGGCAGCTACTGAGACGCTGCACTGGGTGGAATATCGTGATTGATTATTGATGTCTGCCATGAGCACAATGGGAGATATGGCACCAGGAAGTGTGTGTGTCAATTCGGATCTTCTTCAG